TGTTCACTTTGTCGTGGAACAAGTGGAGCTAAAAGTTTGCTTTGTTTACAGTGATCAGCATAAAAATTGTTTTCTTTGGGTTTGAAAACGCGCATTCATTTTCTTTTCTCGTCACTTTCTTAAAAGAAACTTGAGACTGAGCCTTGACAGAGATAAAAAGAAGAAGGGGGCGTCTGCCAAAGAAATAACCTATTATTTTGTTCTTTTTAACCTTTTTTAACCTTTTTTTTTCTTGCAAATGAAATTTGGATTGATGACTCATTGCTCTCCAAAACACTTATGAAAGTAAACTTTCTTAGCGATCTCAACGTTTCCAGTTCAACAAAAGTGCCAGACCTCTGACATAATTAAGACACAGACTCATTACTAAACTATATATCATATAAAAGTTTTGGACAAGCTGTGAAAAACACATGGGTTTGCCTATGCGCTCGATTGCAATTATTCCATTTGTTGTGAAAGCCATGAATGTATTTAAGGGACATCTTTCCAATTTTCTCTCATTTCTGCCCATTTGATGAATTTTAACAAAATTGATTAAATGCAAATTTTAAAAAAGGCCTTAAAGTAATTAGTTGATGTCAGGAGATAATGAGACTAAAACACCTACAGCGTCCACATCGTGAGGTTGGAGCTGCTGATGATAGGATGGTGTAAGCAGACTTATTAGGGTGGATGTACTAGTCAGCAGGGCTGAGAATAAGTGAAATACACAGGGTCTTCAGATGTCAATTTTTACACCACATGGAGATGTTATGCTTCCTGTATGAAGCAGCAGTGAAATAGATCTTACATGATTCCAGTTGAAATGAATTTATTGAAGCACCGGGGACGTCTGCTGCCGTCAGACAGCTCTGACCAGACAGAACAAACAAAGCTTGATGGGAAATATTTAGCACCGAGACCATCCGCCATTGATCTCCCACCAAGGGCTGTTTTCAGATCAGCTGAACGTGCTGAGCTTTATCGCCGCTGCCTCGGCTCTCGGGTTTCACGGCAGCTTTTAGAGGTCGATATGGGAGCCTGTAGGGGACATTTGTTTGACGTGATGGATGGCAAAGCAGACTGGAAATGAATAAATAGGCAGCACATTAGAGATAGGCAGCAGGCAGCACATTAGAGATAGGCAGCACCGTCCTGACGAACAGGCTAAAAGCTGACTTGATTTTGGCGGTTTTGCCCTTTATGCTGGCTCATGTGGAAGAAAGTAAAAGGAAATGTAATTAATGCATTGCATTAAAAAAAGGTTTGCATCTTTAAAGAAAGCCTAGAGCATTTACATAAGGCCTCACTGGCTGGCGTGTCTGTCCATGTTTTTTATGTGAACATTAAACTGTAGGTAGGTATGAAAACAGGAGCCACACCCAGATGGCCTTTTTAACTGTGAGTAATTTTATTTACATTTTTTTTTTAATTGTATAAATGACATTTCATTACTACAGACGTCAGAACTGTGAGGCTGATCTAAAAAAAAAAATCTGCTGAGGAAGAACTGAGTCTAAAACGAAAACAATTAAACAGATGTTTGATTTCTAATGAAAAATGATGAATTTGAAATCATTAAATCTGGTTTAAAATAATTTCTGTTAAGCTGAAAGTAAAGCACACCATGTGCCAGTTACATTTAAACACATAGTTTGGTTTACTTGCATTAAACTTATTAATGCATAACAGTGGATTTTTAGGGGCATGGCTTCTTTGACTGACAGGTGCATCGTGACACAGGCGGTTGTAGCTGCACGCTGGCTACATACATATTTTGTGTACGTTGGTGTATTTTGGTCTCACTGAGCAGCAAAGACAGCGTGCAGCTCAGGTTAAGTGTTTCGTATGGGCTCAAATTGTGGTCATAAATATTTTGTACTTGTAAATCAGTTTTGTGTGTGTAAAAAGAATTTGTGTGTGGACTTGGCCAAAAAATACGTGTGAAACTCTGCACTCAAGTTTCAAGTTACAAGTACGAATTTTGACCCTATTTTTCTTCCTTTCATCTGATTGGTCAAGGTCATGTCAATCACAAATTTATCCAATCAGAGAACAGATGGGTTTGGCTGTCGGAGGGGCGCTTTTTTTGAACTGCAGGTCCTTGAAGAGTGATACAGTTTGAAGCTGGAGGATCTCTATATAAATATCCGATAGATGCTAGGTCCCCTAACTTTCAGCAGCTGTTGAAAGGATAAAGTTGTGGTATATCAGTGGTTAGAAATACCATTATTACTTTAGGATTAGTTTAACACAAAGTCAGGGCTGTGGCTCACAGTGTGCAGCATAAAGGTCCTTTCACATCGAGCTCTATGTCCTCTACAAGAGTTTCTGTTTTTTTATCTTCAAATGTTCAAGAAAAACATGTTTTGCTAATTCATCACAAAGAAAGCTTTGTAACTATCCCCACTAGTGAAGACTGTCTCATTTCCACAACACTGCCCCCCACCCCCACCCCCGAGGTCCACAGCCCTGTTGAAAAGGCGCTGGAGGTCCCTGTATTAAGCACGTAAACCTGTGACACAAAAATCACCAAACTCGGACAAACCACAGACTGTTTTCCTTCGTGGTGATGAAGGAAAACGCTGGGCTGCCATGTAAAAGAGCATTTATTCCCTTCAAGGACCTGAAGCTCCATAATGCACCCCTCCGACAGCCAAACCCAGCTGTTCTCTGATTGGATTGTTAAACTTGTGATTGACATGACATTGACCAATCAGATGAAAGGAAGAAAAATAGGGTCAAAATTCTTCTTAGTCTTGTATGTGTAAAAAAGTCTTTTCACACATACAAAACTGATTAACAAGTACAAAATATTTATGACCACAATTTGAGCCCTCAGCTTGTCTCTGTGTGGGTTTTGTGGCTGCGTGTGATGTATGGAAGTCCACATAATGTGTGTTATGACATGACTGGCACATGCCCTCTCCGTGTGTGTAAAGTGCCCAGTCGGACGGGCTGAACACATCCCTGATGGTCTGTGTGTGTCTTCACTGACGTCAGTTGTAACTACAGCAGCAACATGACATTGTCCAGCCCCGTTAAGAAACAGCAGTCGCCACGGCAGCATGACACACGCTTACACCACCCCTCTCTCCAGAACATACTACAAGCAGGTGACCGTCTCATCTTCCAGCCAACAAGTAATTTTGGTGTTTGCAATGTCCTTTTATTTATTTATTTATTGCAAATTTTTTTGCAGTAAACCACAGATACCAGGATTTAAAACCCTTGAGCCCCCTGTGGTGTCCCCAGCAGGCCACAGAAATGTTTATCTATTTATATGCAAATGGTACAGAGCCCCTGTGGTGACATGGAAAAAATATTATTGCATGGCAGCAAGTTAATAAAGCAGGAATGTAAAAATCTCGCCACAAGATGAAGAATTTGTGGTGTGTAGAGGACACTGGGTGAGCTGTGGGGCTATCATGTACAAAGCATGGACAAATTTGATTTCTTCTCAATTCATTTAAAACTTGAGATGAATTCTAATGATGTTTCTAAATGAGGTCCACCAGCTCAGAGACGGACTGCTCCTGTGCTTCCCTGGAAAAACGCCACACTTCCTGAAGTGCACTGGACATTTTCTGCACAGTACAGTAGATGGTATAGACTGCAGACGTAGCTTCTGGATTTAAGAAGTGAAGCTAACTACTGCTACCAGGTGACAATACCTGTTTTTCCAAAAAGTTGAGTTTATGGTCTCAGTTATTCATTTTGGATCATATTGAATAAAATATAAACTCGATTTTGTATCAGGGAGGAGGTTTATCCAAGCGATGTTGTCAATCAAAAGTCCTGAGCCAGTGACAATGTGGTTTTAACAGGCATATCCACCCCTGGATCATTACATCTGGGCTCAAAACACCAAGATGGTGAGTCCAAATTGGACTGCACTCACCAGAGCGTAACATTATGGTGGCTTTATCTGTTTTCCACTTTTTAAACATTGTTCTAGCTCTAACAAAGTTAGATTACTGGAACAAAAGGAGCCCACCCTGACCGAGCTGAAGCAGCACTGCATTCTTAAGTCATACAGACTGATCTTCAAAGATGGAGTTGACAAGTTGACATTTCCATTTTCACTCACAGAGAATCCAAAAGTACTGATACGTTCAAATCGTCTAACGCGGAAACCCTTTCTGACCATAGGGTTCATAGACCCTCATTGAGGTAATATTCCTTAATATAAACAAAACTTGGTTGGGGTGTAGTACTGGTAACAGCCACTGGTATGTATAGCTCTCTTACGTGTTTAGTTAGAGTGTTTAGATAACAAGCATATAAAACATAAAAGCATATAAAAAGTGAAACAAATGCAAAGCAACATACGGCATATACTAATTAACAAATTTAGACAATACAACAAAAGCCTAAGTGGAAGCCAATGTTATGTTTAAGGCTTCAAATTCAATGATGTATAAAGTGTATTTAACTTTAAATATTTCTAAATAATATTCCATGTTCAGGATCTGTCTAAACCCTGGAAATTGTAAAAAGCGTATTTGGAGGTTTCAGAATAAAAAGAAAAATGCCACAAGCTATAAAGAGTTCAAGGTTCGTGGTCTGATCTGTTGAGCACAAAGGGAAGCTGGATGCAGTCATCCAAATATGTTATTTTAAACCCAAACCCAATATGCATAATTAAGACACAATCCAAGGGAGACCAATGGACAGCCAGACACAGACTTCCTTCAATCTTTCACAACAGATATCCATCAAAAGCTTTCTGAAGAAACTTTTTCAGTCTCATCTAAAGACACCATGTCCACACAAGCCCTGATTAACAAGAGGTCTTAGCGCTAACCCAGAGGTTGGGGTGATACTTTAACAGACTCCAGATGGTCAGAAGTTGGTTCCATGTCACGTTTTACCTCCTAGTATCAATTTCTTCAGTAATGACACAAGAGATGAACTTTCTATTTTCTAACTAATTGCACCAGTGCAACAAATTAAATTAAACATCTTTATGTGAAAATCAATCAAGCAACTTGTTCGTTCACTTATTAAATGCTCACCTTCATCTTCGGTGAAGTCTTTGATTGAGGCCCAGGTCTTGTTGTTGCAGTAGAAGGAGGTGTTGGCTGGCAAGGTGTCATTGAAGCAGTGTGCCGTGCTCCGCACACACTTCTGCCGCAAATTTCCCATGAAGAGCTGCAGGCCAATAAGTGCAAAGACACTGAGGCAGAAGACCGTGAGGATCATCACGTCAGCGAGCTTCTTCACCGACTGGATTAAAGCCCCAACGATGGTCTTCAGTCCTGAGGGACCGCCGCGGGCGCAGGGATGCAGAAAGGGTTAATAGTTGAATAAGTCTTTGAGAACTGGTGTAACTGGTCTATGAATGGCGGGTATGTTGAAACCTGCTAACTTGATGAAGATGGCAGCCAGCTTAAATGACATGATCAAAGCAGTATGCCTTCAAATATTTAACTTCAACCTCTCCTCTCAGAGGTCCAATTACGTCTAAGGTATGATTCTATATGAGATTAATGGCTCTTTGAAAATTGCAAAGAGGGGATTTTCTCCAAACAGTTCCTTATTGTCAGTTGTGACTTGGAGTGTAAAGGTTGTTTTGTTTTTGTTTTTATGCACAGGCAAGGTACAAAAGTAAAACTAAACGACAGCCATCTTTATGCATGAAGGTGGAAAAAACAAATCAATGAACTGAAAGCATAAAAAATGCAAATACTCCATTCCTGTTAGGTGAAAACCTGAAAATATTCCTTCAGATGACAATAATTTTAAATATTTTGTAAAAGTTTTATTCAATCATTGTTAAATTTTGGGGGAAACAGTCAGGTTTTCACCCATGAGCAGCTGATGAAGAAAAGTCACTGTAGGCTAATAATCACCATCAAAATACAGCAAAACAGACCACAAACTCCCCCATTCTAATACTACAATAACAACACTAACACACACATGAACACATGGTAAAAACAGCAGGAACAAAAACACACTCAGAACACAAAGGGTGCAGACAAGTCGACTGTTATCAGCCAAGTCTTACCAAAGAAACCACCAGTTTCTTATAGATTTTTAAATCACCTCTTAGCACTTTTTTTTTTACTTAGTTCTTTCATTAGAAACAGACAGCTCAAATAGGTTTTCTATTACTTTTTCATATTCAAAGATTTTGTCTCACAGAATCAACTTTTGTTTGTTAACCTGGAGGTGTCTGTAAACTAATGAAAAGTGGGATTAGACAAAGCTAAGCTGCAGTTCTGACATGCTGTCATGGTGCTATTACTTTACTAAAGTTATAACATGTGATTAAACACTGTTATAACATAGCCACTAACATGGCACGAGAATGTTTTCATCACATGTTAACAATGCTGTTAGCACTGCATGCTAACATGCACAGTGGAAACATACAGAGGCTAGCCAGCAGGACATCTGAATAACCAACTGCACAGTTTGCATATTGATTTGTGTCTTTGTGGACATAAACTGGTGTCTCCTGAAGTGTGCTGGGAATGTTTAAGTGACGTAGATATCTCCTAAGTGCATTAGCAAAGAGTGTTGCTATGTTCCCCGACCTTTTATGTGTCATGGCTACTCATTTTAAGCTTTTTGTGTGTAATTTTAGACCAACAAAAGTAAAAAGTGCAAGTCCCTAACACATAAAACAACTCATTGTCTTATTAATACAGTGTTTCCTAATATCAGACTGCTGCTTTTTCCTTCACAGGCTGAAACAAAAACAGCAGAATAGGTTAGGGGAGATTATGTCAGCTGTATCTGGCAAGCATAAACTCCATAAGCAACTGGATCAAAAAATGGGTAGCCATTTTTTGGATAGTCAGCATTTTCACTACTGGAATAGCGTAAAAAGCTTAATTAGCAGGTTGTTTTCCACTGCAGAAACCAGCAGGTGAGCAAATATGTTCTTCAGCGTGGGTACTTCTGAAAACCCCTGGAAAAACAGTTGGATGGGCCACAGTGCTGATTGGCCGAACTCGAAGAGTACACCTGCCCTCTCAATGGCCTTTTTAAGCAGCAATCTTCTCTCAAAGAGGGTGCTTGCACATGCACCACAACAATAGTGGCATTCAGTTTCAGAGATCTGTAGTTATAGTAACAACTTATGGCAAACTTAAACCAAACCAAGGCATTTCAATATATAATCCCAACTTTGTTTTAATGATAATTAGTAATCACTAAAACTTCTGTCAAATTCTTGACTTCAACTCACTGAAATAACTCACTTGGCCAACAACCTTTCCAGATTTATTTTGTCCTTTAAAAGTGTTATTTTGTGTACAGGAACAAATTTTTAGGTTTGAGGCTGGACAGACAAACGCTTTTGTCCAAGAACACAAATAACCCCCCCTGGAAATTTTATGGCCACAAGACCCCATCAAGTAGTGAATCTGGTGAATTTTCCACAACAAAAGCAACAGAGGGGGTGAAGGGACGCACCAGGTGGTCAGTTCTGTATCTGTTTGTCCCACTTTGTGTGTTATTCAAATTTCTGCAGTGGAAAAAGAATTACTTACACTCTATCCTCCTTATCACAGGATCAGAATATTATCCCAGTTGCTCACATGATGGCATATCTTCCATTTTAGTTTATTAACTTATGTGCATGTAGGATTATTATCCTACATTTATTGCAGGATTTAGCACTGACATGATGTTACTGAGCAAGCATTTAGTGTACTTCTACGAGGTACAATCATAAAGTTTTGCAACTTTATGGAAAAAATGAACATTCAAAAATCACAACTGATTTAAATTAGACCTTTAACCTTTTTCAGGTAGTCCCTTAGTGTGACCCTGGACCACTCCCAGCATGTCTACTGCCCTACAATTTGAATTGGTTTATGGGAAGAGGACAATGTTTCAGGGAGCTGTGGTCTTCTGGGGAATGCTAATTTGGATAACAGCTGGTGGAAGTCCAGAGGTGCACAAGGGTATGGCCTTGAAGGGACGCTCAACCAAATTTAAATCAGGTAGGGTCTTTTGAGTCTTGTAAAAGTTCGTGATCACACCTTGTAGACAATAGTTGTGTTTTCTAAAGCTAAGTATGAATTTATGCTGATTTGTATGGTGAAGCATTAAATATTGGAAGTCCTTTCTCCTGTGCCATTACTTGACTCATGGCCAAGAGCTGTTTCTGTTTGCTAAGCCTCTGTTTTCCACTCACAACCAATTAGCATAAAAACCTTGGTGCTTCTTCCTGCATACTACCTCTGTTTACTTTGTTAAAGTGGTTGTTATGAAGTAGAGAGCTATCAGTAGGTAGTATGCGGGATGAGATTTCAAACACAGCCACTTAGTGCTTCCAGCAGATTGGGAGGAGTGCGTTTGGTATTCACTCCCCTGCATTCGCGGTCTCACCTGGGATGACAGAGATGGTTTTGAGCGCTCGCAGCACCCTGAACGTCCTTAAGGCTGACACATTACCCAGGTCCACAAACTCAGTCACATATCTGCAACAAGCCGGGAGACAAAAGCACAAAAACAGACACACACAGAAGGGTATGACCACACTGAACAGCAAGCCAGCACAGAGGGATAGAAAGGTGGAGATACAGCAAGAGACAGAAATAGATACAGTAGAGACAGGCCAGGTCGGATGGCAACACTGGAGGGTCAAGCCAGAGACTCGACTGTTAAGAAGGGGAAATCAGGTATTCAAAGCTATGGATTTGGATGTAAACTGGAGAAAAGGCAACTCGGTCAAGCACTTTAATATTTTAATGCCTGTAAGGTTTTGGGGTTTTTTTACATAGTATTTTTGGGTATCCACATAGTAAACTTTAACTGATAAATAGTTACATTTTAAATGTCAGAGTGGTGTTTTCAACATCAGATACCAGAACCAAAAAAATGCCTTTGGGTTGCTTTTGTCTAACTTCAAACATCAAATGTTCAGTTTTGTGCCAAAAAAGACAGAAATCCAGCAAACAGGACATGTTTTTAAGAGTTCATCATGAGAAATGCTTTTGTTTGTGTTTGGCTCTGGAATGGACACTGAATTAACCAGTTTAGTGCGTCAGATTTTTTTTAGCAAATATCCCAACTTGAAGGCATTTTGTTGCCATCGATTCTCCTGTTAACAAACTTTTAGACATATCTGATTTTTCCTTCTTTATTGTTCCTTTAATGCAGATCAGGTGATTGGACCTATGGTCCCCGATTGGGCAAGGAGTGGGAAGTGGGTGGGGTCTGGAGCTGCAAGACACGGCAGACATGGGACGAACAAGAGAGGACGTTCACAACGCGATTACAATTGTCTCCTAGTTTGTTTGTTTTATGTCTCTTGTCGCCCCCTGGTGGTGGTGGTGGTGAGCCCTTACCTGGGATGACTGAGATAGTTTTCAGGGCTCTCAGCACTCTAAAGGTTCTCAGCGCCTGCAGGTTCCCTACTTTGATAAACTCTGTTAACAGCCTGTAGGGGGCAGTGTGATGGTTGTCAACAAACAACAAAGGAAGAGAAACACAACAAAGTCTGAAAATACTGCCGTGACTTTAAACCACCCAAAATTGACTTATTTGGAATATGTGAGCCCTACAGGTCATGCAATTAAGGTGTACTGTTACACACCTGTAAAGGAAAATTTCCAAGAAGTTTTTTTAAAAAGTCAAGTTTACAGGAAGTTTACGTTTTGTTTATAAATTTTCTAAACATCACATTATTCTGTGTTTAACCGTTACTTTTTTTAAACTTTTTTTTAATCATAAGCCAGTCCTAAATGATCCACACTACATCCAAACAACTGTGAAAAACTGTTATTATTACCTATTGAGTTTACCTACTCTTAAAAAACAAATTACCTATATTTTAAGCTAAAATTCAGCTCAGAGTTATAGCTTAAAAGATCAGATATTCATTGATCAACATTTTCTAGCAGTTGCAAAAAAAAAAAAAAAAACCACCCAAAAGGATTATGCAACTCATGTCAGTGCAAACTGACATGACTTGACTACAATACAACTGGCTACAGTTAGCACTGACTACAATTTCTTTAAATTGATACAGCCATATAAAAACATTTTTCCAGGACTCTATGTAGACTAGTGGAAAACCAAGTACACCACACAACTATTCAGAAGCTTGTAGAACCATCTTTAGCAGCAATAATGTTAAGCAATTGTTTCCATATGACTTTATCAGTTTATCAAATGGTGGAGGAATTCTGACCCAGTCTTCTTCACAACACTGATGTAGCTCATTGAGGTTTGTGGCCATTACTTTGACCTTTGATGATCTGTCTGAGCATTTAAGCCAGGTTGAGGTCTGGACTATGGGCAGAAATCTGTGCCATCAGAAACTGAATTTGAATCGCTTGGATTGAATCTGAATTGTAACTTGAATAAATACTTTTAAAAACTGAATTTGAATTAGCCTAATTTGAAATTCAATTTATTGATTTGAAAATGATCATCACTAAATTGAAATTGAATTTTATATTTTGAAAATGAATTCATGTGCTTTTAAACCGTATTTTATCCTTTAAAAATTTAGCTCTCGAATAATTTCAGATTCACTTCTCACCGTTCATTTTCAGTTACAAAATTCAGTTTTTTGGGACTTAATCCGGTTCCGGTTCAAGCGCAGATTAATAGAACTACGTTTTACTAGCGGACTGAAAGTGTTACTGACGGGAATCTACAGCATCTTGAGCTAAATTAAGACTTCAGAAGTCATTCGTCATGTCGAATGACCAGCGGATAAACTCTCAGGTTGGTAATAAATGCATTACATATATAAGAACAAGCGTCATGTTAACAAATGATAGCCGTAAGGTAACTTTTATGTTTATTGTAGCTGTTAGCTAAAAACGCTAATTTAGCGTAGTTTGCCCTGGATTATGATCGACTGTTTCTAGTAGAATTCCAAAGTTGTCATGTTGTACCCTGTAAGAGTACCCCCTCTGTATGCTTGCAGAGACCCCTACAGTAGGGAAACATGCAAAACGGTGTCCAAACCTTTGTATTTTAGCTTTATTTATGTCTTACACAGCATCCCAACTCTTTAGCTAACTTAATAACTTTAGCTAAAGTGAATAGTTAGTCTAACTGAAATTGAATTGTAGAACTGAAAGTGAATCTGAAATTATTCGAGAGCTAAATTTTTAAAGGATAAGATACGGTTTCAAAGCAAATTAATTCGCTTTAAAAATATAAAATTCAATTTCAATTTAGTGATGATCATTTTCAAACCAATAAATTGAATTTCAAATTAGGCTAATTGAAATTCAATTTTTAAAAGCATTTATTCAAGTTACAATTCAGATTCAATCTGAGCAATTCAAATTCAAATCTAACTTATTCAAATTCAGTTTCTGATGGCACAGATTTCTGCCCATACTGGTCTTTCATTGGGTCATTGCACCACCTTGATTATTTTCTTTTTCAGCCATTCTGTTGTAGATGCCATGCTTGGAACGAGGTACCAGTTTTAGTCAACCCTAAGGCATCAAATAGACGGCTTCACAATTGACTCTAGAATGCTTTGGTATACAGAAGACTTGATAGTTGACCCAATGACTGCAATGTCTCCAGATCATCACGCCTCCACTACCATGCTTTAGAGTTGGTGTTTGTCCAAAGATGCTGCATTAGGTTTTCTCCAAATGAAGCGCTGTCTATTATAGCTCAGGTTCAACCTCACAAAATTTCAACAACCACCAAACAGCTAAAACAGTAAATGAGAGCAGGAACACGGATTCTGCACAAAGACGTAAACACAAAGCGCGGACCCGCCGACAGATCAGAATCAGTGAGATGTCGCCTTTCTCACCCGACGGCACGGACACGGTCGGGGCTGAAAGCTGACAGCTCGCTGATTCTGATGTTTCGGCGGGTCCGCGCTTTGTGTTTACGTCCTTTTTGCACTGATTCTGAAGCTGTTTGATCTCTCTCCAAACAATATTGACTGAACCAGCAGCAAAAGAAGATCCAAACTACGCTTCACATAAACATCGTCATGAATTCCCTCTGACTTTTCCTGTTTTGTTTCCACCATAAAATCACACTTCATGCACAGCTCTCTCTCTCTCTCTCTCTCTCTCTCTCTGTATTTCAAGAACAGTTTCCCTTCTAAAAATCTGTTTTCTGCATTATTTGCTTGCTTGTTACGCACCAGTCTACTGTTTACAGCGCTGTCGGACGCTGTTTTTTTCCTTTTACTTACTTCCAAAAAGAAAGCCTCATTTCTGCTGTTCAATAGGCTTCTGAACAAATTTAATCCTTAATTTAATCCTTAATTTAATCCTTAATTTTCCTTCATGTTTTTCTGTTTTATCCTCAGGTACTTTGACAAAAATTTCATCTGCTGTGATGCTCACACTTTGATAAAGTCTCGCATGTTTCAGGTTTCTTTTTATAGATATAAAAATATGGAAATGTACTGATGCATGATCTGAATTATAATATTTCTGACTGTCTGAGGCAAAATTTCACCGGTTCAAATTGAATCGAATCGAATTGATTCTAGAAATCAGTGACGATACCCAGCCCCAATTTGATTATCAGCACCTGCTAAACTGCTAGCCATGGAGGGATTTTCCAAAAGTGTTGGTGATATAGACGGGTAACAGAAGACAATCCTGAATGACAAACAAGGAGTTTCAGGCATCTCAGCAACAGTGTTTCCTTTGGTTTTTATACCTGTTAAAACTCATCAATTCAATCAAGCTGCAGTCTGCACAAGGTAAACTTAGAATAAAAGTGTTTTTTTACTTTTACATCAACATCCACAGTATGAATCTCCAAGGGGGAAAAAACTACTAAAATCTGCTCTTGCACTCGATATAAAACAAACATCAAATCTATAACAACAACCTAAAAAAAAGAAGTTTATAACAAGAGACATAAGCCACACCCAAGCTGTGAACGCCCTCTTTAGATCGAGTCAGACGAAGCCCTGAGAGCCAAAAGGCGCCAGGCAACAGCGGCCATTTTGGGCCCCCAGTTAGCTCAAGACATTTGATACTCAGTTGCTAACGGCCCTCCATTACGGCTCATATTTCACCGGATTTGACTGTTAGGCTGATTGAATTACCAAGGAGGCGTCGAGAGGTGTGGCTGTCAGAACACGCCATTTAGATGCAAGAAGTCACGACCAGCTGATGGAAGCAGTGGCAGCAGAGACACTTCACAATGGAGGGCTCAAAGAACCAGTTCAGGCCTTATGTGAATGTACCTCATTGGTTGTTTTGTTGTTGTTATTTTTGTTTGTTGTTTTGTTACTGTGTCTTTTAAAAATGTAATCTTGAGAATATGAAATTAGATTAAATTCCTTCTTCCTCTGTTTCAAGTGATAAAAATGATGTACGAGTAACACCACATCCCATTTTATTGAAAGGTTCCAGTTTTACCAAATCATAAAGAAAAATACCTAATATGACAAATGCTTTTCATTTTTTTACAATTTATTCTTCTATTAAGTAGAAATAATAGAACACTGATCGATTTCTCATAT